AACGCTCAAATACTGGACTGTCCGGTTCAAAACCGGACACCTGGCAACCCTACTGGGGAACATTGCTGTTAGTGGGACCCATGGGTGAGGGTTCCAGTCCTCTACCCTCCCCCTCCACAGGACCTGCATGCTCTGTGGGAGAGGAGGCTGGGAGGCAGCAGGGAGCCCCAGAAGGTCACAGGAAGCAAGGTGCCAGGCTGCCCCCACAAGATCCTGCTGTTGCCAGGCTGCCACCCTCTCCCTCCCTGGTCCCACCAGCTCCCAGTGGCAGGCTGGTGCCTGGGCTTTGTGCCCAGGGCAGCAACCACATGTGGCTATGCCTCCACACCACCTCTCCATACATGCCTGAGGCTATTCTGTCCATGCTGAAAAGTAGGCATGCACGGTCCTCTTACTTTTAAAAGTGGGGAAACCATAGCTTCCCTGGCCTCCTCGGGTCTGATGATCCTGGGCCCCCCAGCTGTGGGGAAGCCCAAATGTTCTTTGTTTCTAGAGCACCAATAAATCTTAATCCATATCTGGTTATGTACCATTGTAGTTACCCCTAAATATACTGCAGATGTATTTAATCTCCCATGGTTACCAGAGGGTCTACCATATTTTGGTGCAGACCCCACAGCTCATTCCATAGTAATGGGCCAAAGTCCCTGTCCCAATAACAGAATAGGATGAACTCAGGGACATAATGTATAGAATGTGCTACCTCCCTGAACTCCCTCATCCACTCACTCCCTCATCCACCCACCCACGCCTAGATAAATGCAGTGTTGCCATGTTGGTCCTTTTCCACCCTACCTCACATCCTGTATATTCAAACATCTCCTCTAATTTCAATTCCTGTGGAAAACGCTTCTCACAAACAATTCACCACAAGGTGAGGGAGGTTGTGGATCAGAATGAGTCCCTATGTCATTTCAACAATGGCTTTCAACAATTTTAAAACACTTTATCCCTTTTTTGGAGAGTTTATTTGGGATAGAAAAACATTGCCCACAAAACACATTTTTCAAGTACTGAATTTTAAAAAAATATTTCAGGACAGGAGAATTTTTGTGATGTAGAGAGGGCGTAAGAGTGCAAAGCCTGCTGTTTCGTTCCTCATTTAAAAAAAAGCAACATCTAGAGAAATACAGCACAAGATTCTCAACTGGTGTAAATCAGCATTGATTCAGTGAAACATATCAAGTGTACACCAACTACCAGGGATCTGACCCAACTTTTTTAGGAAATACTGAAGTCTGATTTAGCAGGAGCCACAATGAAATTAAGGGGAATCAAGAAAGAAGTCAAAAGACAAAACCTGGGGAGAAAAAAGTAAATTCCAATGAAATATTTTGACATTATTGGTGTAGATACAGATTAATTTAAAAATAAATGGGAGAATCTGTAAGTTCTTCAAGAATTATATATCAGAGCTGCATCCAATCAATCTGATAGCAGTGATAGCAAATGTGAAAGCAATGTATCTGCTGATAAAAATAAATGATATATTTAATGGATTAAAGATAAACTAGCAGATTATTTAGGAATAAATGTTCGCCAGGGAGCCAAATTCTGACATAGTAAACAGGTGCACTGAATTTTATGGAGTTGCAGCCACGGTAAATCACTATAATTTAAATCACCTTTATTCAGCTGTTTCAGGCCTTTAACTCAAATGAGATGCTGCAGGTTAATCAAGAACAAAAAGGAAAAGAGGCCTGTTTTGATGGTTAATTTCATTCTAACCCAATATAGTTCCCTTAAGATACATAGACTGCAGGCTTCTTTCAGAAGAAGCTTTTTCGGAGATATCTTCTGAAAAAACTTCTTCCAAAAGACAACATTGACACTGCAAAAGTGCATCGAAAAAGCAATCTGCTTTTTTGAAAGAGAATGTCCAGACTAAATGGACGCTATCTTACATGTAAGCTATGATTGCTATGGATGGAGTGGCCACCAGGGCACCTGTGCTTTTTCCTCTTCTTCCGAAAGAACTCCCTCTTCCCCATCCACACACACCATTTTGTGAAAGAGCTCTTTTGCAAAAAGGCTTCTTCCTCATAGAATAAGGATTACCAATGGTGGAAAAATCCCTCTGTTCTTTTGAATTTCTTGTGGAAGAACGCAATTGCAGTGTGGACGTTCCTCAAGTTTTGTCAGAAAAACAGCTGTTTTTCTGACAAAACTCTGTAGTGTAAACATACCCTCACATGCTAGTAAATGAACCCCTAGAAAAGCCCACCATAACGCAATTATTTGAGGACTAGGTTTGCAAAATTCTTTTTTCTTTCTTTGTTTAGATTGAGGGTGGTGTTTTGATTTTTTGGGGCTAGGGAAAAGAACTCATTTCCCAAAGTCCCTCTTTTTAACCCTCCCCAAGTCCTCCCTCTCCCACGCATCAAAAAATGCCTCTACAACAGACCTTTTATGAACAAAAAAATCTGTGATTTTTCTCATTTTTTGTGTACTCTTTAATATTTCAAATGCATTTCTTGGCACAGAACTGTTTACAGAGACCAGTGATTGGGTTTTTTTTAAGGTTATAGGCTAATATTTTGGCTTCTAGATGGTATTCCAATTAATTCTTAAACAGGGTTAACTGAAATATTTATTTATGGTTGTGAGATTAATATGTAACAAATACTTTAGAAGATACTGTTTCCAGCTTTATTATAGAACAATTTTCCTATTCAATATTAACAGTGATTTTAAAATATAAACTATGATAGTTGAAAAAATGCTATAGCTTTCCCCAGGTAATGTAGTGTCTTAGTTTATCTTTACATAAATATGGCCAAACTGTAATAAGCACACTGGGCTGTAATCATATTTGAAAAGTGTTTTAGATGGGGTGGGAAAAAAACCTTGCAGTGGACCGTGTGTGTTTTATATTCTCTTTTCCGTATGTTAATTCTGCTCCATGACTTCAAGCAAAATAAGTCTAGTTCCAGTAGATCCAGACAGCATCAGACTTTAATATTGGGTCTGATTTTTTAAAAAAAAGCAGGGAAAATACACCCATTGTCCAAACCTCTACAGTAGAATGTGCACAAACCATTCACCACTCAGACTATATCTAGACTATGGAGTTTTTCTGGGATATGGAGGTATCCAGGGAACACGTCTGCTCTTCCAACATTTTTTGCGGAAGAGAAGACACACTCTTCTGGAAGCCCTGTCTTCCTCATGCCACAAGGAAGAAGGGCTCTTCTGAAAGAGGAGGTTTTTCCAAAATTTGGCCCATCTGCACTGTGGCCAAATATAGATGGGCCAAATTTTGGAAAAGCCTCTTTCAAAAAAAAACAATAGGAAAAAAGGAATGCAAATTGTGGCAATTTGCGTAACTTTTTCCTGATAAAACTCCGTAGTCTAGACATAGCCTGACACTGTGTCCCATTTAAATGCTTGGTAATGAGGGAGTCAGGGCAGAAAGAGCGCCTTTCCTCAATGTTGAGAACAGCCCCATCCAGTCCAATCTCTTGCATTCATGATAGGAGTAAGTATTACCTAGTCCAGGGGTTCTCAAACTTAATTGCACCATAACCCCTCTCTGACAACAAAAATTACTACACAACCCCAGAAGGAGGAAACTGAAGCCTGAGCACACCCAAGCTCCAATGGGTAGGAAGGGAAGGCAAAACCTGAGCTCCACCACCCTGGGCAGGAGAAACAAAATAGATGCTCAAAGGCTTCAGACCCTGGCAGGGTACCTGTAACCTGAGTCCTGCCACTCCAGATTGAAGCCTTCAAGCATCGGATTCATATCCAAGTAGTAGGGTTTGGGCTTCAGCCCTGGTCCCAGCTAGTTTTAAGCCAGTCCTGGTGACCCCAATAAAATTGGGTCGCATTCCACTTTGAGAACCATTTCTTCTCAGTGGGGAGCCAAATCAGTGAGGGTTTGGGTTGTTGTTGGTTGGGTTTTTTTTCTTTGCTTCTCACTTGTGTACAGTCCCTGACTGATTTTTCTGTGCATCAGTGGCCTCCACTCCTGGTGTAATGTAACTCTTTAAACATGGTAACAAAAAAAATCCAACCACAATGTGTGTGTGTGTGTGTGTCAGCTCAGGTCCCCTCTGAAGGAGCAGGACCTCAGACAGAAGGGGCGGGACTAGGAGCAGCCAGCAGCTATGGACCAGTCATTGGCCTGGAGCACTGGGCCTTTTTAAATCACCATGCCTTGGGGCATCTGCCCTCTCCCCGCTCCCATCAGCAGCCCTGTGTGTACACCAGCAATGTCAGTCAGGATGGAGGTTCGTGTTTGCACATGCTAATAGCAACTCCTACAATCCTAAAAGTAACTCCTACTTTTCTTAACTAGTGTGACATAAAGCCAGAGAAAAGAGAAACAACAAATAATAGATCACACACAGGAGTATGTAACTGGTAACAGACACTTCCTATATGCTCTAAACAATTAAGTACCGCTATTTGAGTTTGCACAGAGTAAATGGATGGATATTTTTCTTATGCTAGTGCCACAGGTACAAAAAAATAGCAAAAAGATATACATACCAACACAAATCAGTTGTGTTTTACAGGATCTACATTTAGTAATCTGCTAGGTTTCAAAAATTGTCCTCAAAGCTGACTCAAGCACACAGTTTCTGCTGTGCCCAGTGAGGTTCTGGTCTAAACTGTGCTTGGACTTCCCTCAAGTGACAGAGGCATGTGCTGTCCTATAAGAAGTAAAATGCAGGACTATGTAGCACTTTAAAGACTAACAAGATGGTTTATTAGATGATGAGCTTTCGTGGGCCAGACCCACTCCTGAGCAGCTACATTTCTATTACTATAAGGAGTGTGATTTCTATCAAGTCACAGCCTAGTGTACCACACTGCTTGCTACCTTGGGGCTGTGCTGCCTGTTTGCATCTAATTTATATTTCTTTCAGTGCGCCAGCTATGAATCCTAGCAAACAAGCTATTGTGGGTCCAGATGAGGAATTATACTAGGAGCAGCCCAGGAGGAAAGACTCACAGGAATCCAGCTCCCTCCCCCTCCCCATTAAGACAAAGGGATGCTCCAGCGGGATACAACTGGCTCTGCTGGTAGGCATGTTGCCTGCTGTCGGCTTTCACAGGCTGCTCACTGCCCTTGCACACAAATCAGCTGTTACGGCAGCTTGGTGAGTAGTGTCCGTGGTGCCAGAACTTTGCAGGCCAGGAGGAAAGACTCACAGGAATCCAGCTCCCTCCCCCTCCCCATTAAGACAAAGGGATGCTCCAGCGGGATACAACTGGCTCTGCTGGTAGGCATGTTGCCTGCTGTCGGCTTTCACAGGCTGCTCACTGCCCTTGCACACAAATCAGCTGTTACGGCAGCTTGGTGAGTAGTGTCCGTGGTGCCAGAACTTTGCAGGGCGCTC